TTCTGTTATAACCATTGCCACATGATTGCAATTTTATATCACAACGCAGCATTGAGCACATCTTATATAGTCAAATCTATCCTGTAGATACAGATTTTGTCATAGCGAACACCTGGTGTCATTGCTGATTATCAGTGATCCATTCACATAATTTTCACAGCAGTTTTACCTTTTAACAAGCAGAATCTGTTTTGGCAGGTATTTGAGAGTGACCTATCTCTGGTGTTGTCATATATACATGTGCAACTTTACCATGTATACACTAAATATTCTCATGTATTCTGCATGTATTGTAGCACCACATTTGGTTAATCAGGTTATGGAAGATACTGCTTCAGCTTGATAACAGTGATATTTCTATTATTTCAATATGCAAAAGAAATAAGAGTTTGAATTCCCACCAATGTCGACCATAAAGCCCTGTTTCCCGACTAATGATGCTAATGGTTCTTAATTTCTTACTATTCATTGTGTCCTTGTCCTTGAATAAAGCTCACAGTTACAATTCAATAACAATTTCTCTGAAGATATGTTATCTTCAAAATTTCCTGTCATTTATGATCACAGGCATAAAAATACAAAAACCCAAGTTAAACAGCCAGTTTGGGCAGATAATCGAGACTGATATTTCACTGGCCTTGACATTTAATATCATATATTTCCCTCTTATAAATGGATTGAAAGTACTTTTTATTTTTCAGGAATTAAATAATTCAAATAAATGCACCATTAACAGTGAGATACTAAGGATTCAAGACTTGTTGATAGCATGTCATCATAACCCATTGGCATGGAATGTTACTCACAATATTGACCACTGGTTTGTCTGGCCCACACTAGACTATTTACAGTCCACCATGATTATAGCTTGAGAATTGCTCTCTGTGGCATTAAGGTACATTCACTCACTCACTTTTTCACAATGGATACTAGACAAGTCATCATGGTAAATTCTAAACTTGGGACTTGTCTTGCAGAAAGCACCAGGGCCCTACTCCACAAAGTGATTTTGGTGCTTTGATTGCCATAAGTCTGTGACATAGTATGGGGGATATGATTGACTTAGTGCTAAGATCGCTTTGTGGAACAGGACCCTGGTCAAAAGGTCACGTAATGTATCTTATCTGCAGGATTTACCATGTTTACATGATCAATTATCATGATTCAGAAAATGTCTCAATTCAAAAATAATACATCTTCCCGAGGCAAGAGAGTTAACTGACTTTAAAAGTCCAGTTTCCACCCTTGCCGAACTAGGCTGGAATTACTGGGCTCGATCGTAGCGCCACCAGTGGCTATTACCAGCTATGTCCCTTCTAAACCTCTCCTCTAGACCAATCAGGTTCCACCTCTCGTATCACTTGCATTTGCTTCACACAACATGGTGGTGCAAAGTCAGTACTATCTGATTGATAATCAAGATCTATATTGTGATTAAACGGGTCTTACATCGCAAAATGCATCAAATCACGTGAGCACCTTGATTTAATACATGAAAAGATTTGGAAAATATCTGCTGACAACAAGTTGGCGCTGCACATGTTTTACAAATCCTGCTATCGACCGAAATCTACACGACAGTTTACAAACCGGATTTCAATTTCGGTGCGCGATTTTGATTGGACTATGCATAGACTCGTCAGTCCAGCCAAAATGTATCTCCATAATACCAGCCTAGTTCGGCAAGGGTGGAAACTGGACTTTTATAGTCGGTTAACTCTCTTGCCTCGGGAAGATGAAATAATATGAATAATTAAAACATAGTCATACATGTTAAATATGAAAATAACAACAAACATATTTCATAATCATGATACTTTGAAAGTACTATTTATTAATCATGATAACATACAACACGTATAGGGTGTATAAACATGTGATCAAAATAATACATCTAAAACATGTAAAATGTGATTTATTCAACATGTTCAAAAGGAAGTCAACATGGTCAAAGAGATTCAATCATTTCTCTTGAAATAATATAACTACAAATATCAATCAAAAGTGACATTTTCTAACAAATGAGTAAATCAATGTTCACAAGTATTTCCACATTAGTCAAACATTTAAATTTCATTATATTAAGGGGTTCACTACAGATATTCATCATGCTCATAAATGTTTCCTTCAATAAGTTAGTTTATGCTGCACTCAGCAGTATTCCGGCTATATGATCATGATCACAGTGACTGGAGATATTTGAGTCTGGCCGAGACAATACAGTGATCGACATCATGAGCATAGATCTACACAACTGGGATACAGTGACGTGTATCAACCAAGTCAGCGAGTCTGACCACCCAATCCCGTAGTCACCTCTTGCGACAACCATGGGTTGCTGAAGACCAATTCTAACCCCAGATCTTCACTCTTCTCATTCAATATGTACAAGGAATTCATTAACATGTTAAAAACCAAACTTCACCACTTTCAATGACTTCATCATTGTTAGTTATCATAATATCAGAGAAGGATAGGGATCTTATAAACATGATCTGAAAATGCCAAACAAATGCCCAGCTCAGCCATACAATACTGACATAAATCAGATGAAAGATGTCTTCTTCGTGTTCTTAAGTGAGTGAGTGAGTGAGTGAGTTGGGTTTTAACGCCGCTTTTAACAGTATTCCAGTTATATCATGGCGTGTCAGCTTAATGTGGGAGGAAAGCCCCAAGTGATGCAGGTCTTAGACGTTTACCACCCACGAGCCAGGTATAGTGCTGACATACCTAGAAACATAATTGGGGCGAACCGGGATTCAAACCCACAATCATAGGTTTCTGGCGTGCCTAAGGTCCGCGACTCTGAACAGCGAATCGCGGCGCCTTAGATGACTGGGCCATCCGTGCCCCCCATGTTCTTAAGTAGTATTACCATGCATTATTAGTGCAGAATCCATTTGAAAGTGAATAAAAATGAGGACCATACTATCAAGTCAGCTCTACATTGAGCATGTGATATTTATGGGCACTGTTGGAAAAGAGCATAAATAAAAGCATCAAAATCCTTCCCATATTCATAAAAAATTGCCATTGTTTATGTTGTACATTTCTGACAATATCATAGGCATGTTTTTTGGAACCACCATCAAATTATGATGATACCAGGTGTTTGTGAAAAGGTTTATGTATCCTGCCCCAAGAGTGGCACCTGTCACAAACACATGCAAAGGCAAGCTAACTGCTCACCCAAAAACACACAGAAATATTTGGTACTAGAGACAAATGGTATTAGAAGCACACTGACAGGTAGCAGACACAAGGAAAGACACACACTAATAACACGAACATACACCAACACAATATTCATGAAATCTTATTTGCCTCATAAGTATACATGAGGTAAGAGTTTTTTCAGAGCAGCGAAGTATGTCCTCAAATTTGTGATGAAAGACATAAAGTGTATATGTGGAGCATGGACGAGGCCTAATAAAACAGATATGTGACAAATGTCAACTTTAACATGATAAAGGTGGGCATCTTTCAGACAGTAAACCTATTTCAATGATTTGTATGATTAAGAAAATTGTATATATTTTAAGGTGTTGGCAGAAAGGCAGCTACATCTTTTTCATCAATGTGTCACTGTTTACACTCACTAGCTATAAACATGATAAACTGACACAAACGTTACCATGGTAACATGGTTGCATTCAAAGTCTAGTGTAGAGTTGCATCTTATAAAACAGAAACTATAGAGAGGTCAACTTGTCAAGATTTATGGAATTAAAACTTCTGTCTTGCCAACAAGGACCTCACAATAAATTCGCATATGTTTCTGCATGTCACCTAGACGTTTAAAGTTTTTCCCACAACCAGTACACTGATGGGGCTTGGCTCTAGTGTGACAACTCATGTGTGCATGAAGGTGACTTGATGTTGTAAATCTCTTTTCACAAACAGTACATTCATAAGGTTTGACTCCAGTGTGACTCCTCATGTGTCTTTGCAGGTGGCTTGATGTTACAAATGCTTTCTCACACACATCACACTTATACGGCTTGACACCACTGTGACATCTCTTGTGTACCTGCAAATGACTTGCTTGTGCAAATGTTTTCCCACATTCATTACACTCATAGGGTTTCACACCACTGTGATATCTCATATGAACTTGCAGGTAGACTGATCGTGAAAATGCTTTCCCACACTCTGTACACTCAAAGGGCTTGTCTCCACTGTGAACCTTCAAATGTATCTGCAGGTTACTTGATGTTGCAAATGCTTTCCCACATTCAATGCATACGTAAGGCTTGACTCCACTGTGAAACAACATGTGCCTCTGCAGGTTATTTGATTGGGTAAATGTTTTGCTGCACACACCACACTCGTATGGCTTGATTCCAGTGTGACACTTCATATGCCTTTTCAAGTAGGCTGATTCTGCAAATGTTTTACTACACAAACCACACTCATACGGCTTGGCTTCTCCGTGACATCTCATGTGATCCCGCAGGTCACATGGGAGTGGAAATACTGCCTGACACTCCCTACACTCATACGGCTTGACATCACCATGACAACTCATGTGTGTCTGCAACTCACTCCGTTCAGAAAATGCTCCGTCACACTCTCCACACTCATATGGCTTGACGTCTTCATGAGAACTCGCATGGGTCTCCATGCTTCCTGATAGCGGAAATGCTTCCTCACACTCGCTACTCTTGTCAGATTTGGCTTCATCATGACATCTCATATGTTCCCGCAGGTCACCTGATAGTGAAAATGCTTCGTCACACTCAGTACACTTGAAAGGCTTTACACCCTTGTAACACATCATGTGTAACAACAGGTTACATTCTACCTGCCCACAGACATTACAAGCATTGGATTGGTCTCCATTGTCACTCTTCACATCTTTCTTGTCACCACTCGTTTCTATGACTGCTTTCTCACTTTCTGTGTCATTTATTGTGACAGATTTATTTGTCTGTGTTTGGCTTTGTGTTTCCATAATAAAGATGAATGTGATGATATCAGAAACCTAGAAGAGTTGTTACCTTTCTTTCACAGTTCTGTTGATGTTTCATAAGAACACTACAGATGAAAAACTGTAAAGGAAAATCAAAATCAAATATAGTTAATTGTGTAACAGTATAGGGCAGTTTGAACATTATGTTTAAACCAGCATGAACAAGATCTTATTTTATGGTAGGCCATCTGTGGCTATTAACTATAATTTCATAACCATGATAACTATAGCATATAATAACAGTCTGTGCTTAGCCTGAAATCATGCAAGAAACGGAAAATATTAACATGGAGAGGTGTCTGCTTTATATTCCAATCTTGAGCTGCCAATAATATTTTGAAATCTACAAACAGATGTACTAGTACTACACCACCATGTACAAAAATAATAGTCACTTGGCACTCCCAGGTACATTCAAAGTGAGCCAAATATTCTATAGCATGCAGGCGCCGCGATTCGCTGTGCAGAGTTACGTCCCTTGGGCACACAAGAAACCTATTATTGTAGGGTCGAATCCTTGTTTGCCCCGATTATATTTCCAGGTTTGTCGGCACCATACCCATGCCTGTGGGTTTCACCGAAACGTTTGACACCTGCATCACTTTGGGCTTTCCTCCCACATTAAGCTGACACGCCGCGATATAACTGTAATACTGTTTAAAGCGGTGTTAAACCCAACTCACTATAGCATGCAAAGATTTGAAAGTGTGGCTTTTTAATGTGGTCGGATTGAGAGGACAGGATAATCAAAGCATATTCTTATTCAATGGCAGCAAACACTTAGGTATCACTGATGTATTGTGTCATGTATTTCGTGTGATGTACACCAGAAACCACATGTAAATTTTATGATGCGCACATAAAATTGCCATGTAGTTTTCTTGCAGATGTTTTCTGTTTAGGGATAAGCTGAATGATTTTTCAGGGGCAAGTTGACTATTGGAACATACACCTACAAACAAATACAATCACAAATTTCATGAAAGTTTATTTGCCACATACAGTTCCATACATGATGCAGTGTACATGGGGTAAGATGTTTTACTTGTTTGTTGCTTATCGCCACACTCAGCAATATTCCAGTTACGGCAGTATGTAAATAATCAAGTCTGGACCAGACAATCCAGTGATTAACATCGTGAGCATCGATCCACACAATTGAGATATGATGACTTGCATTAACCTAGTCAGCAAGCCTGACCACCCGATCCTGTTAGTCACCTCTTACAGCAAGCATGGGTTGCTGTAGACCTATGTTACCCCAGATCTTCACAGGGCAGCTAATAGGGGTAAATATACCCTCCAATAAACATGAACAATGATGAAGTCTACATGGGTAAAGATACCATACAAAACAGACATAAGACAGATGTGAGCTTTAAAGTGGGTAACTTTGTGTCGGAAACTGATTTCCTAACATTGTATTTCTATGGTACTGCATGCCAGCCTTTTCTTTACATTGAATTTCACCATGTTCACACTTCCTTGATTCAAATGAGCACAAACATTCACAAAGTTGCATTTTAAAGTCCTGTCTGTTTTCTCGTCTCGTAAAACATGATAACCCATAGAAAGGTCATTTCGTCAAGATGCAAGGAACTTAGATTTGTGTCTTGTCAATAAGGACCTCACAATAAGCTTGCATATGTTTCTACATGTCACGAAGATGTTTGAAGTCTTTTCCACAACCAGTACAACTTATGTGTGCATGAAGTTGACTTGATGTTGTGAATGCTTTCTCACACACATCACATTGGTACGGCTTGACACCACTGTGACATCTCTTGTGTATCTGCAGATGACTTGACTGTGTGAATGTTTTCCCACATTCATTACACTCATAAGACTTGACATCACTGTGACTCCTCATGTGTACTAGCAGGTAGCTGATCATGAAAATGCTTTCCCACATTCAGCACACTCATCATGCTCTTAGGGATTATCACCACTGTGAACCTTCAAATGTATGTGCAGGAGACTTGATGCTGTAAATGCTTTCCCACATTCAATGCATGCATAATGCTGGACTCTACTGTGAAACATGTGCTTCTGCAGGTCATGTGACTGTGTAAATGTTTTGCTGCACACACCACACTTGTATGGCTTGACACTCTGACACTTCATGTGTCTCTTAAGGTAGGCTGATTCTGCACGTTTTACATCACAAACCACACACAAATGGCTTGGCTTATGACAATTCACGTGATCCTGCAGGTCACATGGTAGTGGAAATACTTCCTCAAACTCCCTACAAGCATTGATTTGATGTCATCATGACAACTCATGTGTGTTTGCAATTCACTTATTTCAGTAAATGCTTCCTCATATTCACCACACTCATGGCTTCACATCACCTTGAGAACTCACATGGGTTTTCCGGTTACCTAAAAGCGGAAATGATTTCTCACACTCGCTACTCTCCTTGTGTTTGGCCTCATCATGACACACGTGTAACTGACTGCAGGTTACATTCATGACACACGTGTAACTGACTGCAGGTTACATTCATGACACACGTGTAACTGACTGCAGGTTACATTCATGACACACGTGTTACTGACTGCAGGTCACATTCATGACAAGTGTAACTGACTGCAGGTTACATTCATGACACACGTGTAACTGACTGCAGGTTACATTCATGACACACGTGTAACTGACTGCAGGTTACATTCATGACACACGTGTAACTGACTGCGGGTTACATTCATGACACACGTGTAACTGACTGCGGGTTACATTCATGACACACATGCAACTGACTGCAGGTTACATTCATGACACACGTGCAACTGAGTGCAGGTTACATTCAACCTGCCCACAAACATTACACACATAAGACTGGTCTTTATTCTCACTCTTCTCATTTTCCTTTTGACCACAATTAGTGTCATTTACTGTGACAGATTTACTTGTCTTTGCTTTCAGAGGTAGAAATTGGCACTAGTCTTGTAGTCCTTGTCAAACTGCCCAATAGTTAAGGCATCATAAGGACTAGTAGAAATTTGCCCTTTTTAAGGGTTTTGCTATATGTTATCATTATAAGGACTACTGGACTGAAACTGATAGTTTTTAACGCTGTGCTTGGCTTTGTGTTTCTATTATAAAGATGTGATATCAAGAACCTAAGATATCACCTTTCTTTCACAGTTATGTAGATGTTTCATAAGAACACCATAGATGGAAAGCCCAAGTCAAGACTGTCAAGGAAATTCAGAATAGAAAAAAATAGTCAAACAGATTTGCATGATGACTGGTATGGTATAGAGTAGTTTGAGCATAACAGTTAACATGACTTACTTAAAAGTAATATGTATAGTTCATACTTTTGTTTTGTTTGTTGTTTAACGCCACGCTCAGCAATATTCTAGCTATATGACGGCAGTCTGTAAATAATCAAGTCTGGACCAGACAATCCAGTAATTGACAACATGATATTGATCAACACAATTGGGATCGATGACATGCATCAACCAAGTCAGCAAGCCTGACCACCTGATCCCGTTAGTTGCCTCTTACGATAAGCATAGTCGCCTTTTACGGCCAGCATGGGTTGCTGAGGACCCATTCTAACCCGGATCTTCACGGGTAGTTCATACTTTATGGAAACTGCTATCTGTGCATTAACATTGTATAACTAAGACCATGATTACCATAAAGACTGTTCAAAATCTTGCAAGAAGCACAATTATTGCCATGTGAGATGTTTGCATTACATTCGTATAATTCATCTGGTGTACTTTTCATATAAATGTTTGGGATAATTGTTCATCTTGGATGTTTTGTACTGCTTCTTCCTAATGAACATGATCATGAAAATACTGACATTTTCTGTCATGAACATTGGAAATACTTGAATACCATCCCACTATGTTACACTCTGTCTATCTTGGGATATCCAACAAATGTAGCAAACCAAATGAAGTTTTTCATTTTACTGTATACCATGTACACCACATAATCATGAGAAAGTTACTATCAAATGTCAAAATGACATTTTAAATATGGTGGTGAGAATTTGTACATTTTCCTGGTATCGACTAAATCTGAGTTGTAAACAGATTATGAAAAGGTTTTCTTGATTGCTGGCAGACAGTGAGCAGAAAAAAAGAGTGACACTCCATGGGGTTCTTGGTGGGTTGTCTGACACCTCTCAGCAAAAGGAATGGCGAAAACTTCATACAGTCAGCCATCGCCTATAGCAAACTAAATCTCATTACTTTTCTTGACCAGTGCTGTTCATTGAAATTTGGCATTCAGTTGAAGTCGCTTCAAAAGTATAATTTCCGGACAAGTCCATCCATATAGGCGCATCATCCACAAACACGTTGGCACTCTAATGGGTACTTCTGCAGCAGTTGCAACGGAATGATCTATCTTGAAAAGACAGCATTCCATTACTCAAAGAGTTCCTTAATCTTCCCAACATGAGCTGCTCTTCGGAAACTGAATTTCTTTTTCTTTGCTTGAATGAACATAATCAACAAAACTGGCTTTGAAATTTTGTCACCTCTTAGTTTGGAGTGCATCCTGTCGCACTGCTTTTCCTGTCTTTATGTCAATATTGAATTTACTTCCTGCAGCTGTGTTGATTGCAAGCTTATAACATTTTACAATGTTTGACTTGAAAGAAAGGTCATCATGGTCATAGAGCCATCTCTCTGCCCCTTGTGCATGTTGTGATGCATCTTTATATTGACAAATATAGTAGCAAACACACAAGTTCCACATTTTGATCTCTGACAAAAATCTTGTGACATGGATGAATAGTATCGATTGCACTTTTAGAGGTTATCATGTTTAACGGTAGACATTATGTCGAAAACAGAAGATTTAGTTTGTATTATGACTGTATGCATTGAGCACAATCTGTGCATACAAATGGACTATTATCAAATAGTGATATTAGTAACTGTGACGTAACGAGCAGCAAGTCAGCTTCAGACAAGCTACTATTGATGAGGGATATGAGATCCCATGTAAATTCGGATTCACTGAACATTCAAGTCTGAAAGCATATCTAAAAGGCTAAAAGCCATTTTGCAGTCACATGAGGTGAGAACTATCATGTAAAATTAGGCTATGTACACGGCACTTATAATGCTTCTTGCAGTTTAGTTGGGAAGTTGGGAAGCACAGCTATAGAGACTTATTCGAGCAGAGTGAGTCTTATTCAGTGATAGAAGCTAACTGTTTTTGTCTACTAGTCCTTATAATGATAACATATAGCAAAACCCTTAAAAATGGCAAATTTCTACTGGTCCTTATGATACCTTAACTATTGGGCAGTTTGGCAAGGACTATAGGACTAGTGCCAATTTCTAACACTGTTATTGTAAATACTGTGTATGGTGTATCATGGAGTCTGGCATGTCCTTATCAAGGTTATAGAGTGATCCTCTGTTGAAAAATGTCAGTATTACAATAATCCTTTCATATTTATTCCTCACAAAATGTTTTAGAGTTTTTCATACAATGATAGACAATGTTCAACTGATGTGACTAAAGAGATAAAACGAAATGTACCACTATATTGTATATGCACTGTCTGTACATTTCACAGCAAACTAAAACAAAGTCTTGACAATTATTTCTGACAGTTTTCATTAACACTGTTGCTGAAGATGCTGAACACGTTTGATGTTTGTCTCTTGTTTAAAATCATGTGAACATCACATTCAGCAATCAGGGCAGATTACTCTGAACCTGCTCAGAGGCCGATATTCAGCCCCAAGTCTGCAGGAATTGACAGTAAATACTCTAGAATAGACAATGATTGATGTCAATATAGTCACAACAAATGGTATGGCTTCATTGATAAACGGACTAATAAATAGCAATATTCCGTATGCTTTGTGTAACACTATTGTATTGAAGCAAAAATACCTTAAAAACCTGAACAAAATAAACAAACATTCTCAATTTGTCTGCCAGGGACACTTGTTGGGAATTCTTGATAAATCCCTTGTAATAATCCAGCTACCAGTAAATAATCAAGTCTGTACCAATACTCTAGACTATCACTTAGTCTCTGAAAACATATACTCAATAATGTTGATGGAATAAGGTGATATGGTAGATACATAACCTCGAGAAAATCTGGACTTGCTTCATTGCGAAAGCGAAAATAATATGGTTTATGGACTGTTCGACAGACTATGCATTTGTTACAGGGACCACTGTTGGTGTCCTAATGTAAGGAATGGCTAAAACAATTGTTATATTTCTGCTGAGGTAAAAATAAAAAATGCATTTTTCTAAACATCAGCTGCAATAACCAAAATATACCAGATAATGGCTTCAAGTGAGAAATTAAAATTGTTGTTACTCTGCACATTATTTTATGTATACACATATTTTTTTATAGCGAGGGACACATGGAACGTCTTGTGGGAATATTTTATCGATCTGTTCAGTGATTTGGGAGAAACACAAGGGAGCCACTGCAATGGTGACCGACCAATGACGGACAAAGACTAGTAGGTTCATTTGGTGCTTACGAGGTGAGCTAAAAATCCTAGTCCTGGCAAGTCCCATACATTAAAACACCCCAAGAAACGCCAACCGAATGGACGGGTTTCGACTGGTAGTCAGGATATGATGTCACTGTAGTCGAGCTCCCATGACCTGCGATCGGCTACAGTGACCACAGTTGACGCCCGAAGTCGCCCAGCAGGCCATATCAGAATATTGAAAAGAATACCTGGACACAAACAATCGGCCAGTCCGCGATCTCGGCAAATTATTACATGTTTCTGAAAATAATAGATGTGACAATATGACTACATCTGAAATTAATTAATAGCGAAGATTGCTAAGCATACTTACATTTCACAGAAGACAATACATCACCAGTGACCTCATCAGTCTGCCGCTGAATGCTTTACATTGCAGGTTTCGGTCCAAACTAGCCCAGCGCCAAAATGGCTGGGAGAAATATCATTCAACCGGTCACGACAACTTTCGCTAAAACGGACAATTAATTCGATAAATCTATGAAGACAAATATGTCGTAATGAAAACAATTTGCCACATTTCTATAGTAGCATTAAACCGATCGTAACAGACACATAATTTACTTTGACTAAACCTGTAAGTTCAGATTAAAATATTCGGGCTGTTTTGACAAGGCCAGAGTTGAAAGTGGCATATTTGCCTAACACTATCGAAATAACATTGTGGTACAATGCCAAAACGGCAACAACCACCTATGGCAACATAATATACGCTTAACCTGGGTTGGAATAGAAAGGCCTTGGAGAAAGACGTTCTGATCTAACACAGTAACCGAACCATGGATTCAAACATACATTGTCCTTGTTTCCTGGGGACGGGGTTAACTTCAAGGCCAATATGGTCACCATTTCATCATCACACGTTTAGGCCTACTTCAGGGATAATATTATTTGTCATTTAATGGAACGGATTTCAACATTCCTCTTTCTGATCTGGTTCGATCATATAGGCCTCCTTGCCAAAACAATTCAATTCATATCCGATTCTTAAAATAAAAGGCGCCGACTATATACTGGGATAAAGAGCCCCGAAAACGCAAAACTTTAGTACACTTTTTGAGTTTCCCCATGACGCTGTTCAAAGTACCCCCCTGATCTAACGTATCCTTTGTAACATCGTTCTTTCATTACTGTTAGGCAAAATGACGTATCTTCATCAATATCCATCGGTCTAATAGTGAAATATTTAATTGTCGGATAATTGAATGTTATTACCTTGGAAGAATTACGGCAAGGGTATGCCAACCATCTCTCATGCTGCCCAAACATATTCAAACCACTGTCCGTGCCAATACAGTCACAAAGTTATCCGAGGCGGGCGTTGGTCCCCTTGGAAGTATACCTGTAGCTGGACACAGGCATGAACGATAATGGAAGAGTTTCATATGTAGGACATATAGCAACATACTGTAGTCAAACAAAACGATTACTGTTCTCCCTCTGCCATGTTCGTACCACGGCGACGCCATATCACGCCCCATGCCGATTCACGTCGGTGACGGTACCATATATTATAAGAGCAACAATCTCAGCGAGCACACTGTTTCATGGATGCAGTTGTAGCAGTCTGGTAACCAATTTGCAACAGACCACACCTCAACTCACAATACTAGTAACTAGCGACACAGAACTTTGGCATTGTTTACATGCGTTAGCTCGGCCCCACAATGCACTTGTGGAATGTTTCGAGTCACGTGATTACACTGATGCAAAATATATAATATATGTATTTATCATATAATGGGTAGGTTTCTCGGCAGGATAAAGCCAACGGATAAAAACGATATCCGTTGGGGTCATATGTGGATAGAGATGCAAATATCAAAGGTCAAGTAGGGACTATATACTTTCACTGTTTATAAACAAACATGGCGTCGCCCTCGTCATTCGGCGATCGAGTCAGACTTAACCATCGGGAATCTGGATAAACCACAGGAATAATTGCTATCATTATCAAAAGAACAGTCTAATATACTGAAAATCAGTGTCTCACTGTGACGTAGCTAAGGCATTTTATAAGTTTTGGCTACTTTGGAGATATAAATTTCGAAACAATTTTGGAGGGCACAAGGCCTAGCTAAGCGGAATCAGTAGCCATATCTGTGCTTGTAGACCTCTGCGGCTTGAAACCTTCTCCACAAATTAAAATAGTTGAATTTGGCCGAAATATGTTTGAATTGTTACCTTGTTTCGTTTCGTCGCTGTGTGTACATCTGACTACACTTCTTAACGTTATGACAGGACAGGCCGACTGTCAACAACGTCTGACCATGGCCGTAACGTCTCACAGACTAGGGTTAGAGTAGCTTCCCTTTGACAAAGGGCAGTTACTCTAGCGGACAGACCGATGGATTGCCGCGAAAGGCAATTAAAAACTAAGGTTGTTTTGCGTATATGTTGCTTCGCCACTGTATAAGAAACAGATTTTAGTTGGAACTATATTGGCTACTGTCACTGTCCGACTGACACATCACTTACCCTGTGACGTAATTAATATTAATGCGCGCATTCCAGGAAAACTCGCAATGTTTCGGTAATGTTTGTGAGAGAGGGAAAGCGATTTTGAAGCACAGAATTAAAGAATGACATTATATGATAAAGAGGTTATCACGCTTGTGTGTTTGGCGATAGTAAATATCCTGTATTAGGAATAAATACGATGTATTTAACTCGCCAAAGCTCGCTAAATACAATATGTTTATACCTAATGCAGGATATTTACCATCCCCAACCAAACACACTCGCGTATTAACCTCTATAATTTTAAATCATTCTTATTTCTGCATCGGGTTATGGAGAATCACACACTAAACGGATAATAAAATGTGACAAAGTTAACCATAAAGTACCCATTTTAGTGTGTGTGTGTTTAAAACTTACTTTGTCGCCTAACGTAAGGGTACGGGCAATTAGGTGGAACATCCCGTAAGTAAGCCCTGTTCGAGAATTTCAATGAATTTGTTTTTAAACTTTAATAAATTACAGCTCAGTATAGTTTTCCACTGAACTAGTATCACGTCAACATGGTCAAAGCACTCGAACACAAGGTCCTCGTGCGTTACCTCCCATAGTTCAAGGCACAATTATACTTTATTACACTATACATGGATGGTAGAAACAACTTTATTTCTTAATTCAAAGTGGGGCGTTATATGTTTATTACTTGGGTAACAGATCAGGCCCCAAAATCAGGAACGTTGAAAAAAAAATGGAAATGATTTTTGTCTATTTTTCTATATCATGAGCATCGATCCACGCGATTGGGGTTCGATGACATGCATCAACCATGCAAGTCATGCTGATGGACTGGAAATATTCTGCAAGGTGCGATTTCTGTATCTTTTTCTCCAATGCACCTCGTGCAGGCTGCAGGTAACAACTGACTGCACAACAAATAAACAAACTGCACCACATACTTTACTGGGAAATTAAAATAAGAAGGCATGATGACAGACAATGTTTGTTCACTCACCATACAAGTTATCATTCTATATGACACTGAGCAGTGACAGTATCCTGTGACAAGTGCATTTAACACTTCACCATTATTGTGAAACGCGATCATAATCATCTCTTAATGATTACCATGTTAAATTATAACATATTTTTGGCATAACGTAAAGTTCACCTTATATGGTCTCTTGAGTACACCAACACAATTCCTCCTTTATAAGTTCCTTACAATCACGCCCCTCACTCCACTCGCATCGAAAAGTGTACCTTTTCTACGTATACTTAGGGTCGGTCGGGTAGCCTAGTGGTTAAAGAGTTCGCTCGTCACGCCGAAGACCCGGGTTCAACTCCCGACATGGGTACAATGTCTGAAGCCAGTTTCTGGTGTCCCCGCCGTGATACTGCTGGAATATTGCTAAAAGCGGCGTAAAACCATACTCACTCACTCATTCACTATGTATACTTAAAATCCAAAGATGTCTCTAACAGTGAGCCACTTCACACCGGCTTTTCTGGGGTATATCAAGGCTGCACATCTAAATGGTCTGTTTGCATATCAGTACCAGTATGATCAGCTGATTTTGTCACGTTTTCACATTTGTTAACTTCAGTCACCATGGACACTGTGTCGATTTCACGTTTTTTTAATGGAAAAAGAAGAGAGTTTCGACTGAAAAAATTCCGACGTCTTTATAATGCTCCATAGTTGCGTAATCATCTGTCTGTATTTAAGGTCAAAAGTGTCAAGAAATCGCCAAGAGCACACAAACTGTCACCACATGCAGACCGCCATATTGTTCTGTAGTCATTGGAAACCAGACCATCTTCGGCTTTTTTTCTTCAGCCTCGAGAGTACACCAAGAGATTTGATTGGTTGCAATTTTCCGTTTTTCTTATTGGAATTCATGTTTATGTAAATTAGCGATGAAGATGGAACTGACCATCTTTCCGAGGCAAGGTAGTTGGCTATAAAAGTCGAGTTTTATAGTCAGATAATTTCCTTGCCTCGGGATCGGCTGAGGCTATTTAAGCGAAAACTGGCGAACTCTAGTTTACATAAACAGGATAGAAAGTAACTTTATTTCGATTTGTTTAGATCTTGTGTAAATTTAATAATTTTGAAGCAAGTGATATTTATTAGTCTGTTTGTAGAATATACACATGCACAAAAGTTAAGCGCCACCCACCATATTTGTGAGCTGTTACTTTTGGCTATTGCATATGCTCAGGTGAAATATATACTTTGTGTTGCAAGTCAAAATAGTGTAAACGAAAATGGCAAAATTACCAAGCTAGTGACTTATCAAAACTTCGTCACCATTACCGATGCTACTCACAAAGATACCTACATTTCCTTATTATCTCGAAAACTGTATTTCATTTTGTTGATCAATGTGACCATACGCCCTTATTACTACCCATAAAAGTGACTAATGCGCTTACGAATGGCGCATCAGAGGTCGCGAACTAGTCTAGATTTCTGCTATACATCCGGGTACTCACTGGGAAAAAACAATAACAAAGGCAACAACCAGTCCCGGGGAATTGCGTTAGATCAGTGCCCCTTTAATGATGACTATTATTTAAGAATTGACCTTCACTTTGTGTGAGTTCATTTGAGTATGAACCTGCATAGAGTGAGGGCCAAACTGTATGAACGTCGGAGCTTGCGGAAGTTTGCAGCCGAAGGAAACACAACCCCATATCATGACAGACCCCCCGCCACATGCTAAGGTCTTCTGGATGTTCCTTGGTGCAAAACGAGTGTTACGTTGCCTCCAAACACGTATTCGACCATTAACAGTTCGTAGCAGCATTCGACACTTGACCATGTTTGACAATCAAACGAGTGATAACAATGTGATGACGACCCATTTGTCTTGCAATGGCCCTGCATGACATGCCAGCATGTTTCATGCCTATCACTTGCCATCTTTCAGCGTTCGTCAACTTTCTCCTCACCATGGCTGATTTTCAACCTCTGTTGGAAGGGGAATCTCACATGCAAAATGCAACCTCGTGTCTGAAACTTGAATTTCACTATTTATAGGGTAGGGGAACTGCAGCAACACGTAGTGGTATTTGGTATTTGGACAAATTTGGGTTCATGAAACTATGGAAGCCTAATTCAGTCATACATCATCATATTTCGTATTTCTGATTCCCACACGTGAAATCAAGAGACTATGAATATGGTGGCGCTTAACTTTTCTGCATGTGTATATTTTACTGACTGCACTCACTGAGGTAAAGGTAGGCTGCACAAGGCGATTATAACCAGAACCAGTGTAGTTGTGTCAATGGGAAATCGCACCCTGATCTGGAATAATGGTTGACATCATGAGCAACATCTCAAAACGTAGGGCTTCATACATTGTACCCATGTGGTAAACGTTTGAGACCTGCATCACTTCAGGCTTTCCTCCCACATTAAGCTGACACGCCGTGATATAACTGGAATACTGTTAAAAGCTGCGTTAAACCCAACTCACTCACTCACTCAGCTTTTCCTTGTGGAAAGTGGGGGGAGGGTGGTGGGGTAGCCCAGTGGTTGAAGTGTTTGCTTGTCGTGCCAATGACCCGAGTTTGATTCCCCACATAGGTACCAATGTCAGAAGCCCATTTCTGGTGTCCCCCCTGCCATGATATAGCTGGAATATTGCTTAAAGCAGTGTAAAACAATACTCTGACTCCTTGTGGAAGGAAAGCCCAAAGTTTGAGAAAGCAGGTCTGACAAATTTACCACTTTCAAGGAAAATACAAGAGCTGTATGGTGCACACAAACCAAGAATATTAAACAGGGCGGATCTGGGGTTTGAATTCAGAATCATTGGATTCTGGCTCAATTAAGGGACACAAGTCTGCACAGGAAATGTCAGTTCTTAATATGATGGAAGAAGCATGTCTGACAAATTTTAACTCCACTGATCCATCACTTTTTAAGAAGAATGTTTATAGGTCCCAGGATACATCTTTAGGGAATGGTCAAAGCGGACAGGTAATTGGCCATGATTTAAAGTATCTAAAAAACAATACTCAATATATGAGTATGTATCACACTGTGGTTCCCATTGTGGTGAAATTAGATTTTAACTTGCTGAACAGTTGTCGGTTGGAAGAAGGGTTGAACAACACTTGGCAATACCTTGTCAATTTAGAATGTTACCATGCTAAAACTTGTGGTTTACAATTTTGGTGGCTTATGTTTGTTGTTAATTAAAGTGATATTCGTTGAGTCTTAGAGCCTTAGTTACATCCTTGTTCTGGACAACTGAAGTATAGGACAATTGCTACATCCCTAAGATGCTCTATATGAGCAAAGTGTTCTTTTTCCAAGTTTCTGTGCTTCCTATGTAGATGTTGAGGTGGTGAAGTGGGATTTAACGTCTTGCTAAATATTATTGGACTTGCATGCAGATGTAAGTGTGGCTATTTGTACTAGTCCGGACTGATGCCCATTTTATAGTACCAGCCCACTGAGTATACCATGCTGCAGTTTAATATGAATACCCCACTAGGACACAGTGTACTGACTCGAGCCGAACAGTCCTTGTTTATCTCCTTGATGCCAAGCACCAGGCAGGGTATCATTAAGTACCATTTTTTAATGTCTATTGGTATGATGCAGCCAGGGAGCAAACCCCAGACCTTCCGTTCTAGAACACGGAGGCTGTCTGTAGATGTTGAGTGCTGATGCAGATACTCACATGATCTTCAGTCAGGCTGGCTAAAATATTTAAGTTTATGACTGGCAGATTGAAAGTGGACAAGTTCCAGTTTGTATCAGGGTGAAGTATGAGCGATAACAAGTACATTTCTATAATTAGTATGGTTTTACGCCGCTTTTAGCAATATTCCAGCAATATCCCGGCAGGGGACACTAGAAATGGGCTTCACACATTGTACCCATGTCGGGAATCGAACCCAGGTCTCCTTTACATTTTCACCAGAATCAAGAAAGATACATTGGACGCACTGAGATCAGCTTATAACTGTTATTTTGCATCCATTGATTTGAAAGACGTTTATCACTCTGAGAACAAGAAAGGAAACATCTTAGATTCTTTTGGAAATGGAAGCTGTTTCAGTTTACTGTAGGCCAAATGGTTTGTCACCTGCTCCCAAGATATTATCAAGCTGCTTAAACCAGTATTTTCTTCCATTAGACAGTATGGTTTCTCAAAGTACAGTTTACATTGAAGACAACTCAATGGGGAAGATGAGCATCACTGTTTACAGAATGTTACTCAAACAGTACAGCTGCTTGCAAGCTTGGGTTTTTAGAGTGCAGACAGACAAGTCAGTTTTGTGCCCAACAAGAGTGGTAACGTATTTGGGATTCATCATTAACAGTGAAAACATCCTGGTTACTATTACAAGGGAAAAAGCTATCCTCATGAGATGTCAGGTGTCCATTCGTGAGTTGGCAGCACTGATTGGAAATCTTAATGCTAGTGGAAGGTTTGTGGTGAGGGTGTGAGGAAATGTGTGGATCAGTCAGGAATTCTACTCCTCTGGGCACATTGAAAAAATTGACAAAGGGTATCACTTTCTAAAACCATACGTTGCAAGTTCAATTTCTTGTTGGAGATCGGGTGGTAGGAATCAAACTTCTTAGTTCAAACGCTGATGAAACACCAACACTTTTGATAATTGTTACGTGACAATTACACACCCCTCCTACACTGCCGTTTTCTGAAACAAATCTGTGGAAGAGGCGCTTATTGGTGCGAGGTATTTATTATGGAGTATATTTAGGATTAAATAATCGAACTGACATTTGTGATTAGAACTTAACATGCTTAAAGAAGGGTTCAACTGAACCAGTCAACATATCACAACCTACTGCTTGAGTGAGTGAGTGAGTTGGGTTTAACACTTCTTTAAGCAGTATTCCAGTTACATCACGGCATGTCAGCTAAATGTGGGAGGAGAGCCCGAAGTAATGCAGGTGTCAAACATTTACGACTTTGGTGAAACCCACGAGCACGGGTATGGTGCTGACAAACCTAGAAACATAATCGGGGCGAATCCGGATTCGAACCCACAATCATAGATTTCTGGCGGGCCCAAGGGACGCAACTCTGCACAGTGAATCGTGGCGCCTTAGACGACTGGGCCACCATATCCCCCCTACTGCTTGAACATTAAGATGCACTGAAACATGACCTTCACATTCGTCATACACAGCATTGTCGTTCACCTGATGCAAGCAGAGGAAAAGTTCCTTTGTCAAACAACAGATTCAGGCACTGTCGGACATGCTTCTTTCTTGGCTCTGATGTGGCACTTGATGTGTGTCCTCAGGCTGCTGTATTCTGTAAAGGCTTTCTTACATTCAAGACACTGAAAAGGTTTCTCTCCCGTGTGACACCTCATGTGAGCCTTCAGATTGCCAGATGTTGTAAATGACTTCCCACACACCCCACACTGGTAAGGCTTGACTCCCGTGTGAGTCCTGATGTGTATCTGTAGCTGGCCTGATCGGACAAATGCTTTCCCGCACTCACTGCACACAAACGGCTTGACTCCACTGTGATACTTCATGTGAGTCTTCAGACATCTTGATGTTGTAAATGTTTTCAAACACTCCCCACATTCAAACGGCCTGATTCCATTGTGACGCCTCATGTGTGTCTGCAGCTGACTTGATTGTCTAAATGCTTTTTCACATTGGCTACACTGAAAGGGCTTGACGCCACTGTGATAGTTCAGGTGTGACCGCAGGCTCCCCGAGGTTCTGAAATCTCTCCCACACTCAATGCACTGGTAAGGTTTGACTCCATCGTGAATCCTCATGTGTATTTTTAGGTCATTGGATCGTCCAAACCCTTTTTGACATTCACTACATTCATAAGGCTTGAGTCCACGGTGACTTCTCATGTGTCTGTGCAGGTCACTGGATCGTCCAAACGTTTTCTCACACTCACTACAATTGTAAGGCTTCACACCACTATGGCTCATCATGTGCCTGTGCAGGTCATTTGATTGGGTAAATGCCTTCCCGCACACACTACACTCATAAGGCTTGATGCCACTGTGACATCTCAGGTGGCGCTGCAGGTCACTTGATCGCGTAAATGCTTTCCCGCACTCACGACACTCATGAGAATTGTCTCCACTCGGAGACATCAGGTCTTTCTGCAGGTTATCTGGTTGTGTCAATGTTCTGTCACACTCTCTACGATCGTACGGCTTGTCATTACCCTGACACCTCGCCAGATTATCAAGTGTCGAAGGTTCTTGCAAACATTCACAACAATGCCTTTCCATGTCACCTCCATCATCTGACTTCAAGTGTATCGGTAGGTAACAAAATTGTGCAAATGCTTTCCCACACTCCTCACACTGAGAGGGCTCAGCATCAATGAGAGACATCATCGATGTATCCGCAGGTAACTTAATCATGAAAATACTTTCTCAAACTCATTTGGTGAAAAGACTTTTTTTCTCTTTCACTTCTTGTGTCTCCGCAGGTTACTTGTAAATGCTTTCTCAGAGTCACTGATGAGATGTGGGTCCATCTGTACATCAGGTGTTTCTTCCGGCCTCTGATTCAGTCAATGCTTTCCGCCTCAACTTTAAAATGAAGGCCCCTGGAGTGAAAAAAATGCAATGAAATAAGTACAAGTCTGCATTTAACCATATTAAAGTAAAGATTTTCAGAAACATTTAGAAGTTGAAAGAACATGAAACTTGTTTTGGAAACCATCTTTACTGTTTATAATAATTAGATGTATGAGAACTTAGAGTAGAATAGGTCTTCAGCAAACCATGCTTGCCGTAAAAGGCGACTGTGCTTGTCGTAAGAGGCGACTAATGGGATCAGGGGGTCAGGCTCGCTGACAATGTTGATGCATGTCATTGTATCCCAATTGTGTAGATCGATGCTCATGATGTCAATCACTGGTCAATCTGGTCCAGACTCGATTATTTACAGAACGCCGGCTTATAGCTGGAATATTGCCGAGTGCAGTGTTAAATAAAAAACAAACAAACAAAAATTAGACCTTTAAAGTAGCCCCATCCATTTGATAGGGAGGTCATTTTTGACCAGATTGCAGATTTTTCCAGGATAAATTCAGTTTGATAAAGGGGCAAGAAGTAGCCCAAATTTTTTGATACAAACAATAAAGAAGTTGTTATCCAAAAACATTTCATGTCTTCGTAACCATGTTAACAGTTTGGATTTACTGGATAAAACATAGTGTAAAGAAACAAGTACAAACATATCATGGGCGGTCGGGTAGCCTAGTGGTTAAAGCATTTGCTAGTCACCCCGAAGACCCGGGTTCGATTCCCGACTATGGTACAATAAGTGAAGCCCATTTCTGGTGCCCCCCATCGTGATATCGCTGGAATATTGCTAAAAGCGGCGTAAAACCACTCACTCACTCACTCACTTGCAAACATATCTCACAGGATCATTTCAGAAACACAAGTGTCTATACTTTGCACAAATAGACTTTGGTATCATCACCAGTTAAGGTTATAGTTAGACTAACTCCACAACTAAACTGGATTGGGAGGTGAAAGAATATGGTTAGACTAACTTCACAACTAAACTGGATTGTGAGGTGAAAGAATATGGTTAGACTAACTCCACAACTAAACTGGATTGGGAGGTGAAAGAATATGGTTAGACTAACTTCACAACTAAACTGGATTGGGAGGTGAAAGAATATGGTTAGACTAACTCCACAACTAAACTGGATTGTGAGGTGAAAGAACATGGTTAGACTAATTCCACAACTAAACTGGATTGTGAGGTGAAAGAACATGGTTAGACTAACTCCACAACTAAACTGGATTGGGAGGTGAAAGAATATGGTTAGACCAACTCCACAACTAAACTGGATTGGGAGGTGAAAGAATATGGTTAGACCAACTCCACAACTAAACTGGATTGGGAGGTGAAAGAATATGGTTAGACCAACTCCACAACTAAACTGGATTGGGAGGTGAAAGAATATGGTTAGACTAACTCCACAACTAAACTGGACTGTGAGGTGAAAGAATATGGTTAGACTAACTCCACAACTAAACTGGACTGTGAGGTGAAAGAATATGGTTAGACTAACTCCACAACTAAACTGGATTGTGAGGTGAAAGAACATGGTTAGACTAATTCCACAACTAAACTGGATTGTGAGGTGAAAGAATATGGTTAGACTAACTCCACAACTAAACTGGATTGGGAGGTGAAAGAATATGGTTAGACAACTCCACAACCAAACAAGCATAGTTGCCTTTTACGGCAAGCATAGGATGCTGAAGACCACATTCAGTGAAATTGTGGACACACATACATTGGTAAAACATCAAGGACCCTCAAAACACGAATTCAAAAATATCACACCTCAGTGTCCAAAGTTGACTCTAAATCAGCTTTATCAGACCATATCCAGGACAACCCCTGCCACCAGCATCCAGTAGGCCAACATCTAAACCCTTACTGGTGGCCCAGGCGTCTAAGGCGCTGCAATTCGCTGTGCAGAGTTGCGTCCCTTGGGCGTGCCAGAAACCTATGATTGTTGGTTCGAAATCCGGGTTCGCCCCAATTATATGTTTCTGGGTTTGTCAGCATCATACCCGTTCTCATGGGTTTCACCAAAGTGGTTAACGTTTGACACCTGCATCACTTAGGGCTTTCCTCCCACATTAAGCTGACACACCGCGATATAACTGGAATACTGTTAAAAGCAGTGTTAAACCCAACTCACTCAAGATAAGACTGCCATTGTCATCGGCGATCGAGTCAGAATTAACCATCAGCAATCTGGATAAACTACAGGAATAATTGCTAACATTATCAAAAGAACAGTCTAATATACTGAAAATCAGTGTCTAACTGTGGCGTAGCTAAGGCATTTTATAAGTTTTAGCTACTTTGGAGATTTAAATTTCGAAACAATTTTGCGAGGGCACGAGGCCTAGCCAAGCGGGATCAGTAGCCATATCTGTGCTTGTAGACCTCTGCGGCTTGAAACCTTTTCCACAAATTAAAATAGTTGGATTGAGCCAAAATATGTTTGAATTGTTACCTTGTTTCGTTTTGGCGCTGTGTGTACATCTGACTGCACAGGCCGACTGTCAACAACATCTGAACGTGGCCACGATGTCTCATAGACAAGGGTTAGAGTAGCTTCCCTTTGACAAAGGACAGTTACTCTAACGGACAGACCGTTTTGCGTATATGTTGCTTTGCCACTGTTTAAGAAACGGATTTCAGTTGGAACTATATTGGCTACTGTCACTGTCGGACTGACACATCACTTACCCTGTGACATAATGAATATTAATGCGCGCATTCCAGGAAAACTTTGTGAGAGATGGGAAGCAATTTTCAAGCACAGAATTAAAGAATGTCATTATATGATAAAGAGATTATCACGCTTATTGTACAAGTATCACTTGTCCCCCAACTTGAATCAAATAAAACTGTTTTCTATAAAAAAAAGTCCGGGGGTGGGGTGCGGCTCGCTACGGCACTGAATCCGGAAATCGCACGCGTGGGTGGTTTCGGCTGCGGGCCTGTCTTGTCTCAAGAACAAACATGGATATTACTGTTATTTATTTTGTTCCAAATGGTTACTAGACCAAACAAAATGGGCAAAACTAGATCGATTTCACTTTTCAAAAATGGTCTGCGGTCCAAGTTCACCCTATTTTGTAGGTGAGTCACAATATTTAGAAGGTCTCAAGCCCAACGTGTTTTGGAAAGTATACACACAAAAAATACGTGAACGCCTGCTCCGTATACTTACATGCCATACCAGAGAAACAACACCCGCGGCCATAGAAATCTGTCATCAATGCCAATGTTTCTCTATTGACTTGTCTTCCTCGCGCCGTGAGCAGGTGATAACGGCTCCATCCAAAACTGCGTTATCTGTGTGTGGCAAAAACGGCCAATGTTATCGCGTTTTCATCAGATGTTGTTCAATTTATAACATGTTCTTAGATATATGCGGTCTGGACTGTTTGGAATCTCACTGGCAAATACACTCTTTGTTTAATACTTAAAGAGCCCCTTGAAGATCCGGGGTAGAATAGGTCGATCTTCAGCAACACATGCTTGCCGTAAAAGGCGACTATACTTGTAAGAGGCGACTAACGGGATCGGGTGGTCAGGCACGCTGACTTGGTTGATGCATGTCATCGATCCCAATTGCGTCGATCGATGTTCATGATATTAATCACTTGATTGTCTGGTCCAGACTCGATTATTTACAGACCGCCGTCATATAGCTGGAATATTGCTAAGTGCGGCGTTAAACAACACGCCAACCAACCAACTTAAAGAGGTAGATCTACTGTATACTGTTTTAACGTCGTATGTAATAAGAATACGCAGTCGCAATTTGATCGATATACCATGTATTATATATACTGACAGTGCTTCATATAAAGTTAAATGAAAATAAATCTGTTCTAAAATTAAATAATCTTTACATACATGTTCATGAAAACTTGATTTTATGTCGTGATTCACAATTTGCACGTGCATGTTCATGCACATCGCACATTTTTGCGTTTTTTGTTGGGAGCATGATACTCACAGAGGTGCCTTTTAAATGTTAACAATACACTATGATTGTTTATCTATCAGCTCCTATAAAACACTTTTTTTTTCAACGTAAATAGCGCTTTCGCAAAGCCACAGATTGCTGAAAATTCATCGTCGTGGGTATGCCACAAACAGGACTAGCGCAAAACGAAGATGCCAGACATTTTAATGTTTATCGAAACACAACATCATCTCTTGGCTCTAAGCTGGTTCCGCGTCAACTTGGAATATGAGAGACGAGGCCCAGCTTTAATTAGGCAACACTCACGACTTGCCACACACCGGTCGTCACGTCAACAAGCAACCATATTCGGATGGTGCGCCTACGGAATCGACACCGAACTGCCACATCAACATCTCGGTCAATTCCTGGGTTCTGACCAATTACCGGTAGTGTCAGCTAGAACCGTATGCAGCACATACAAACGACCCCGTCGTCCAGCGATACACCCAATTTTCCTTCCACGTCATCGTCAGGCGCGCCTAAGCTGGTTCCCGGCTCCCAGTGCGCGTCGTAAACTTGCGCCTTATATTATGATATGAGAGACGGGGCCCAGCTTACGGCATGCCTAGCTTGGTGAAGACAGCATCTTAGGTTCAGAAGACGAGACTTGGACAGTATACTGTTCACAGATGAGTCCAGGTTGGAAAGCTCTGATGGTCTCTAAGGGCCTACAGGCGTCCAGGAGAACGTTTTTGCGACGCTTGCGTTACTTAACGCCGTCAGTTTGGGGTAGATGTGTAATGACATGGGGTGGCATCACAACTCATGGAAGAACACAACTCAGCATGTTTTAATGGCAACGTCAATGGCGTACGCTACCGGCACGACAACGTTCGATATCATGTTCTACACTAGCGACGTAACGTCACGTTGCAGAAGGATCATACACGCCCACATGTTGCATGTGTTGTAACGGGCTTTTTTTAAAGGCAGCATTACTTGCTGTGCTGCCATGGCCAGCTGTTTTTCAAAGAACGACGCCTACGACCGGATCAGAACCAGCCGGTAACGGTAGCTCAGTTTGATCATTCTTTGGTTGACATGTGGAACAACCATCATCTGGTGTCTTCAGTGCGCTGCCGCTCCCTCGCATGTATCAACGGAAATGGTGGTCACACCCTACAGTGAGTGAGTGAGTGAGTTGGGTTTACCGCCGCTTTTATCAGTATTCCAGTTATATCACGGCGTGTCAGCTTAATGTGGGAGGAAAGCCCGAAGTGATGCAGGTCTCAGACGCTACTACTTCGGTGAAACCGTTAGTCGCCTCTTACGACAAGCATAGTCGCCTTTTACGGCAAGCATGGGTTGCTGAAGACCTATTCTACCCCAGATCTTCAGGGGGATGTTCAATGTGTCTCGGTCTGTGATTTGCAGACATTGGAACAGGTATGGGCCTTAGGTTATCAACACAAGTCCAGGATCGATTAATCAGAAGTATAAACCGTCAATTCTAGAGAATAACCAGTCTCGATTTTCCAACAAAACAGATTCCATTGGACGAAAAAGGCAAAGTGGGGGTGAACATTACTGACTATGATGGAGGTAAAACAGACGATAAAAAAAACGATTGGCACAATCGTTCCCCCAACGAGAAAATTCTCCTCGCCGAGATTAAAACTGGTTCTCGGTGTTTGACGTGCTGCGCAGTTTCAACGATCAGGCTCAGGTTCATTGAGGGTTTCTACTTGTCCAGCACCTATTGTAGTAGGTACAAATTCACCCGAGCGTGGTGATTGGTAAGACAATTTGGGATTAAGGGAGGCATATCACATATGCCACAACTAAGTAGGGACTATCTCACAAAAAAATATAACGACAGAACCAGTCCATTATTAAGACGAGACGTCAAACTTCCATTCATTAGAAATGGTCCGAGTGAGTGAGTTGGGTTTAACGCCGCTTTTAACAATATTCCAGTTATATCACGGCGTATAAGCTTGGTGTGGGAGGAAGGCCCGAAGTGATGCAGGTCTTAGACATTTACCACTTAGGTGACACCCACGCGCACAGGTACGGTGCTGACAAACCTAGAAACATAATCGGAACCGGGATTCGAACCCACAATCATAGGTTTCTGGCGTGCCCAGGGGACGCAACTCTATACAACGAATTGCAGCGCCTTAGACGACTTGGCCACCACTGCCCCCGGAAATGGTCCGAAAGGGGATGCCCAACCATCATTAACACCAAAGATGAATAACCCGCCGTCCATCTACATGTATTTGTATGCTGCTTCTTGGAAAAAGCATCAAGTTTCACAATGGTTTGGAAACCACCGTCGTATATATAGATGACAGTATACGTTCTTAGCTCTTTGCTAATTTTATTTCTGTGTTGTGAGATAGGATTCGTCTCCGCTCCAGTTTATATTTTAAGCGGAGAGTTGTGTTGATGATTAGGTGACGTTGTACCACAAAAGGCTTGACTCCAACCAACACAGCCTGCTCAAGCTTCCCTTCATCAACCTGAATGCGCCTAGTTCACTTGCAATAAGCAAATTTGGTGACACTAACAGTGATTTCCACCTAGTCGTACGTAAATATTGCCATATTATACTTCACATAAATATATACGAGGTGAGGTGAAATGGGGTTTAACGTCGCGTCCAAGATTACATAGCGACGTGCATGTACGTGACTGTTTGTGTGGCTACTTATACTGATGCCGATTTATAGCGCTAGCTCACTGAGATACCATGCCGCAGTTTAACATGAATACCTCACTCAGACACGGTATACTAACTCCGAGCCGACCAGTCCTTGTTATAGCCCCTTAAGCGCCAGACAGGGTAACAATAAGTACCATCTTTTAACGCCTTTTGGTATGACGCGGCCGGGGATCAAACCCCGGACCTTCCGCTCTCCGGCGGACGCGCTACCCCTAGACCACGAAGGCGGTCTCAATATATTCGAAACCGATTGTGTAGCCAAAACTTACCAAGCAGTTACCACTATTAAAAATGAACTCCAATGTGTGTCTAATTTCAGGAAGATTCAAGACATTTTGATTCATATTATTTTGGCCGAAACCTCAGTTTAATCAATGGTTATTATATTAAATAGTTCTGGAATTTGCGTGACATCTGTGAGAGGTATTTTTCACTTTAGTTCAACTGTGAAAATCGAAAACATTTGATAAATAAGTAATATTGAAGGAATTTATAGTACGAATGCTTTTGTTTTACGTTTTATGACTTGAAATAGATCAATGATATTTTAATTTAAATATGACTTTATGGTGATGTTGTTTTTTTTATCTACATGTGCTTTCCTCTTTAGATCTTTTTCTGCAATGTGTTTAATTTTGGTTTTCGGTTTCTGCTTGCTGTCAATAATCGACCAGACATATGCTTAAATTGTCGAAGATTTGGTATAGATTTGGTATAGATCGTCAATGTCATGAATAGGTGTTCTACAATAAGGAACAGGTTATTATTCCTTTTTTCACCCACCGGCCCCACTCTGGGAAAACCTTGGAGATGAGCCCTTACTGCTACCAACTGCATGGTTTCAGCTCTGTAAATCCTAGAATATACGCCTTGTCGTCCTCCCATTACTTACCATTACAAAAAAGAAATTGTGATGACAAAGCTTTGATCTAATGTGACATGGATTTATGACAAAATGCTTTCAGTTAAATCGGTAACTATGATAAAGTCACTGTGTAGTAAGAGGCGACTAACGGGATCGGGTGGTCAGACTGGCTGACTTGGTTGATGCACGTAATAGATCCCAATTGCATCAATTGATGCTCATGACATCAATCACTGGATTGTCTGGTCCAGATTTGATTATTTACAGACCGCCTTCAGAAAGATGGAATATTGCTGAAAGCAACATTAAACAAAGAAACAAACAAACTTTATTGACCATGTGTTGACATTCATGACTTGAGACTTAGAGTTGTGCAATTCATGTTGCGGCTGTCATGTTCCATAGCTGCATGGTAAAAATAGTACTATTTATGTTAATAACCTTGTACATACATTGAAATATTTTTAGACACAAAAATCCTCTTGTATTACATGTTTGCCTTATTATCACATATTAATGGGATATCAAGTTCGATAACCCTACCTTCTCAAAACTCATTTCATTATGATTTAATCAATAGTTTACACAGGAATAATTAGTTACCAAAAAATTAAAATCACAAAAAGCAAAGTCTTTAAGTCTAGTTCATTTTAGTAAATTGTTTATACAAGTGACATGTTCGTACTGTTAGTGTAAGGTTATGGCTCTATATTTAATATACTGATCATGCTGATAAGGCTTGATTCCACTGTGAATGTTCATGTGGCAGTAGGTTACTTGATTGTGTACTAAACATTCAACACATTGATACGGCTTGATTGCATGCAATGTGTATCATCGTTTCCCCGCAGTTTACTTGAGAATGTAAATGTCTTCTCACACACATGCACTTATGAGGCTTGATCCCACTGTGACAAAGCATGTGCCCTTTTCTTGTCATCTGATTGAATCATTGTTTCCCGCACTCACTACAACTATGAGACAACTTTGGTGGACCCCCACAATCTTTGTGGTTCTTGAGATCACCTGTCACAGCCAGCGTTTTCATCTGTGTCAGCAGCAGACTGACTGTGAGAGGGCATTGCTCGAAACAGGTGTATCCTGTATCCAGCAATGCCCTGTCACAGTCAGTGTTTATGACTGTCAGTAACAGACTGTTTCTTGAGAGCACCTGTATCCAGCAATGCCCTGTCACAGTCAGTGTTTATGACAGTCAGTAACAGACTGTTTCTTGAGAGCACCTGTATCCAGCAATGCCCTGTCACAGTCAGTGTTTATGACAGTCAGTAACAGACTGTTTCTTGAGAGCACCTGTATCCAGCAATGCCCTGTCACAGTCAGTGTTTATGACTGTCAGTAACAGACTGTTTCTTGAGAGCACCTGTATCCAGCAATGCCCTGTCACAGTCAGTGTTTATGACAGTCAGTAACAGACTGTTTCTTGAGAGCACCTGTATCCAGCAATGCCCTGTCACAGTCAGTGTTTATGACTGTCAGTAACAGACTGTTTCTTGAGAGCACCTGTATCCAGCAATGCCCTGTCACAGTCAGTGTATCCATCTGTGTCAGTAACAGACTGTTTCTTGAGAGCACCTGTTTCCAGCAATGCCCTGTCACAGTCAGTGTTTATGACTGTCAGTAACAGAGTGTTTCTTGAGAGCACCTGTATCCAGCAATGCCCTCTCACAGTCAGTGTTTATGACAGTCAGTAACAGACTGTTTCTTGAAAGCACCTGTTTCCAGCAATGCCCTGTCACAGTCAGTGTTTATGACTGTCAGTAACAGACTGTTTCTTGAGAGCACCTGTTTCCAGCAATGCCCTGTCACAGTCAGTGTTTATGACTGTCAGTAACAGACTGTTTCTTGAGAGCACCTGTATCCATCAATGCCCTGTCACAGTCAGTGTTTATGACTGTGTCAGTAACAGACTGTTTCTTGAGAGCACCTGTATCCAGCAATGCTCTCTCACAGTCAGTGTTTATGACTGTCAGTAACAGACTGTTTCTTGAGAGCACCTGTTTCCAGCAATGCCCTGTCACAGTCAGTGTTTATGACTGTCAGTAACAGACTGTTTCTTGAGAGCACCTGTATCCATCAATGCCCTGTCACAGTCAGTGTTTATGACTGTGTCAGTAACAGACTGTTTCTTGAGAGCACCTGTATCCAGCAATGCTCTCTCACAGTCAGTGTTTATGACTGTCAGTAACAGACTGTTTCTTGAGAGCACCTGTTTCCAGCAATGCTCTGGTGACACCCCTGTGACTCTTCATGTGTCTCTGCATGCTACTTGAGTGTGAAAATTGTTTCTCACACTCACCACACTGAAAGACTTTACTGTGAATCCTCAGGTGGGCCCGTAGGCTACACGATTGTGTAAAAATATTCCCACATTCATTACACTGATAAGGCTTGATTCCACTGTGAATCCTCGTATGTCTCTGCAAACTACCTGATCGTGTGAATGTTTTCCTGCACCCAATGCACTGATAAGGCTTGATTCCAGTGTGAATACTCATGTGTGACTGAAGGTTATCTAATTTTTTAAATTCTTTTTCACAAACAATGCACTCATAAAGCTTGATTCCGCTGTGACAAAGCATGTGCCTTTTCATGTCACCCGAATCAATAAATGTTTTTCCGCACTCCACACACTGAAGAGACTGCTTTGATGGACCCCCACAATCTTTGTGCTTTGTGACATCGCCTGTTTCCAGCAATGGTCTCTCACGGTCAGTGTTTATGTCTTTGTAAGTAACAGAGCGGTTATTGAGAGCACCTGTTTCCATCAATTCTCGGGTCACATCTCTGTGACTTCTCATGTGTCTCTGCAAGCTACTTGAGTGAGTAAATATTTTCTCACACTCACCACACTGGAAAGGCTTGACTCCAGTGTGAACCCTCAGGTGGGCTTGCAGAAAACGTAAGTCTGTAAATGCTTTTTCACAGTCTGTACACTGATAAGGCCGGTGTCCACTGTGAATCCTCATGTGTGACTGCAGGTTACATGATTGTGTGAAACTTTTTTCACATTCCATACACTTGTAAGGCTTGATTCCACTGTGAACCCTCATATGGGAATTCAGGCTATTTAATTGTGTAAAACAGTTTCCACATACAACACACTTGTAAGGCTTGATTCCACTGTGAATCCTCAAATGAGTTTGCAGATTACCTGGTAGTGTAAACGTTTTCCCACACTCGCCACACTTATGAGACCTCTTTGCTGGAACCTCACAATCTTTGTGTTTCTTGAGATCCCCTTTTTCCAGCAATGCTCTCTGGGAGTCAATGATTTCACCTGTGTCAGAAACAGGTTCTTCCTTGAGATCCCCTGTTTCCAGCAATGCTCCCTGGGAGTCAATGTTTTCACCCGTGTCAGAAACAGGTTCTTCCTTGAGATTCCCCGTTTCCAGCAATGCTCCCTGGGAGTCAATGTTTTCACCCGTGTCAGAAACCGGTTCTTCCTTGAGATTCCCCGTTTCCAGCAATGCTCCCTGGGAGTCAATGTTTTCACCCGTGTCAGAAACCGGTTCTTCCTTGAGATTCCCCGTTTCCAGCAATGGTCTCTCACAGTCCATGATTACATTTGTTTCAGTAGCAGTCAGGATTCTGAGGTTGGCTTTGTATTTCCATTAATAACTTGTGGTTGTTATGGTTTCACTGAAAACATAAAAGAGTTTTTACTTTCCTCTATCATGTTAATGCATTTTGTTACATGTTAAGAGAGGCCTAAACTGAACACCATGGTGAAAAGTGATCATCGCACGAAGCTGGTCTTGATGTAATGGCAGATGAAATGTGAGATGAGACAAGACAGACACGCTCCCACATCACCTGTCTCAGTTATGAGACGTTACATTTGTTTCAGTATCAGAGCCAGGATTCTTTGGATGGTCTTGTACTTCCATTGTCAACTAGTGGATGTCATGGTGTTCACTGGAAATACAAGAGAGTTGTCACTTTCCTTCATCATGTTACTGCAAATTCTGAAGATGTTTCCACGAGAACACCACCCGAAACAACTTGCGTTGTGACCATCAAATTTGATGATGTGATATGTTTCAGGATAAAATACTTATCATGTTGCAAATAGATTGAAACTAGCTGATGATGGAAGATGAAGAACTAGAAATAACAGGGACCTGTGAAACTACCTCATTTGTTTCCTATTTAGATCTATGAATTGATCTATTCATAAAGATTTAGAGTGACTAGAAACTCTGCACAAGACTCTATGACAAGTGGGATGACTTCAACTTCCCGATAGTCAACTTCCTTTTGTATCGACCAATACCCAGCCTTGGTGTCTACGTTGTACAACTTTTGAGGTTCAATCGAGCATGGTCCTTTTTCAAAGATTTCAAAGAGCATCATAAAGTTGTTCAAAAGTTGTTTGATCAACCTACAACATTGAAGGCCTTAGTAAAGCTTTCAAAACATTTTATGGCAGACATGCGGAGGACATTTTCAAATTTCATATATCAAGGACAAAATGAATGTCTGATGCAATTCCCTATTTTGTCTTGTACCATATTCTGTGTTTATTCAGGTGAACACTTGGCTTGCCCATGCATGTGTTTGTGTCGGGTGCCAGCAGTGGGGCAGGGTATGCTCACTTTTTATCTCTATTCAATAGTGATTCATAAACATAAAATGTCAATGCCAGAGGTTTTATGCAGAAACATTTCTTTAGGCATAAAGGGCAAAATAGCAGTGAAAATTATATGACTGGATCACTGACAATCAGTGATGACCCCAGGTGTTCCTGAAAAGGGTAAGCATGTCCTGCCCAACATGCAGAACCCACCACTCACACAGTTTCCACAAAAAGTTAGTGTGTTACATGAACACATATGTATATGATATAGTTGGCGTAAAAGGCGACTAACGGGATCGGGTGGTCAGGCTCACTGACTTAGTTGATGCATGCCATCGATCCAAATTGCGTGGATCGATGCTCATGATATCAGTCACTGGACTGTCTGGTCCAGACTCGATTATTTACAGACCGACGTCATATAGCTGGAATATTGCTGAGTGCGGCGTTAAACAACAAACCAACCAACCAACCAAATGATATAGTTGGAATCATACAATTACTCTGCTTTTAGTAGAGATTTCTTATGAATATGGAAATGAGTTTGTAGCTTTTACATTTATTCTTATAACTACTATGTACAGATTCAAATAAAATATGAAGGAATTAGGGTATGGGTGATCCTGGTACAGTCAGGCTGCATGGTTGGGTTCTTCATCAGCTCAGGGACCTTGCCCCCTCTACACACAGCCCAGACAGAGAATGGGACATAGCGCTGCCTAGTCAAACCCACCCAGAATTTTTCGGAGAATGTGAAGACTCCCCAACACGGCAGCCTTCTGCATTATCCAGATTGTAAAAGGGCTGTATTTCTGACAGTAAACCCTGGTATTTTCTAATGTCAGTCAACAGGTTGGAAGATTAGAACTGATAACTTGGCATTTGGGATGTAAGTGTGCAATTTTGAAAGCAAGGTCAGCATATTTGCCATGTTTTTCTTGAATCTTGTCACATTTATTATTATCATTATTATCATTATAATGTACATGGTTTTTATTTCTGGTATTATTACTGTATTCGACGTAATAAGAGCCCAGGGCGCTCTCAAAATTAGAAATAGGGGGCTCTTATTAGAATATAATTTTGGTGAAACATTTGAAAGATGGTACATTTTGTGGTTTATGCTGACAGCCTGAAATGATACAAAAATTAAAGTCTGTGCGTATTATACACAACAGATATATTTTTCTAGAATTTAATTGCCTGTAATTAAGGGTGCATATAACACACGAGTGCATATTATAAATGAATAAATAAGTCTTAAATAAGACCAATCTGAAAGGTGCTAATTGGAATTGTTCACTTGCCAATATATTAGCAAATTTCGCCGTTGGTGTTTATTAGAGCGAATACGGTATTATTATTATTATACTATAAATGTTTTTTGTCTCTTTATTTGTTTTCATTACGCCAATCTGCAATATGATCGTCCCATAGAAACTTAATGTATCGTGACGTAGCAGCGATTGGTCCCACCCTTGATCATGCAAATCCAGCCAAAATATCAGTTGCCTACTTTACCATCCCCGTGTCATGGTTTCGGACGCCTAAGAAACATTCTAAGTTTTCTCACTGATCACATGAACAACTGTAAAACATCTCATTCACTTACAGAAGACAACATTCTCGTGAAAAAACAAGTATTTCAAATGTTCGTGTGATGCTTCAGCCCCGTTAAACCATGATAAACCCAAAACATAGATCGTATTAGCCTAAGTGTCCACGGTTGTCCACGGTTGAACACGGACTGAAAACCACTGATCCGATGATATAACCTTCGTGTCAACTGGTCACCAGTCAGGAGAGAAAAATAGGAGATTGAGTTATTCGGAGTCATTCGCGTTGTAATCATGTAACATGTTGCAGTTACTTACATTCGTGTACAATCTGCGAGGATCGTGTGCCACACACCCACATCCTCTTTTGAACGCGGTGTGAGGAGCGTATTGCTTCAGAGCTGACAACACAACAAAACTGCATTTGTAGCAAACGGTTTGTGCGTATTAGTCAAAACGGACAATCTTTTCACAGAATGGTCACGAGCGCGCGCGAACTGTTTGAGAACAACCCCCATTTGGTACACTGGATGCCAAGTCTGAGGCGGTATTCCGGTCATATGATTAGTATTTGACAATGATACATACATCTTTTCCTGAAACGAGTGTCAGGTCGACGGAAGGTACATCTACCCAATCCTGTAAAAAATAATAATCTATCCAAAAAATATGACACACAAATAACGTCTACACGATACTAGAGCATGATTTCATGGGGCGGCGAGCCAAGTGGTTAAAGCGATCGTTCGTCACGACGAAGATCTGGGCTCGATTCCCGACATGGGTACAATGTGTGAAGTCCATTTCTGGTGTCCCCCGCCGTGACATTGCTGGACGCCGTCATATAGCTGGAACATTGCTGAGCGCGGCGTCAAAAAAAGAAGAAGAAAAAAAGACATTGCTGGAATATTGCAAAAGGTTTCGTAAAACCATACTCACTCTCCCCAGTAGTGTTGTTACACGCTTGACTTAGAAAACATACATAGACAAAACATCAAATAGTATCGGGTTCAAATGAAAATGACAAAATATATAGAATCATACAATCATACACGACATGCTTTCTACTGTAAATCATCCGAACGTAACTTCTCCTAAATCAGAATCCTCATGTTGTTTGTTTGTTGCTTACGCCGCACTCAGCAATATTCCAGCTGTATGCATCGGTCTGTAAATAATCGAGTCTGGACCAGACAATCCAGTGATTGACATCATGAGCATCGATCCACACAATTGGGATACGATGACATGCATCAACCAAGTCAGCGAGCCTGACCACCCGATCCCGTTAGTCGCATCTTACGACAAGCATAGTCGCCTTTTACGGCAAGCATGGGTTGCTGAATACCTATTTTACCCCGTAGTCCATTGTATTGTGTGTATTTTTTTAGATTTGGATCTTCATGGGTCTTAATCCTCATGTAAAAAGGATATCCGTGCTCGTGGGTTTCACCGAAGTGGTAAAAGTCTGAGACCTGCATCACTTCGGGCTTTCCTCCCACATGAAGCTGACACGCCGAGATATAACTGGAATACAGTAAAAAGCGGCGTTAAACCCAACTCACTCACTCACTCACTCATGTAAAAAGGACCTCTATGTGAGTGAACCCATGCGAGTTGTACACTCATTATCACTAAGGATTGTATTAGATGCCCCACACCCATGTTGGAACAAGATGACACATTTATGAAAGAACTTCTATCATGAACAAAAGAAAGTCCAGTACAGTACGTTACCTGTCGCACTAGATACGCAAGACAAATAAAGATTATTATACCTCCCTGTCATCATCATCATCATCATCATCATCATCTATTGTATTCTGGCCATAGGCCCATATACATACAATACATTTTATATATACAATTTTGTACATGTACAAGTATAAACAAGCAGACTTATATGCACAGAGATGTGCACGTGTACAATTTTGTGAAAAATAAGTCACATCACAACACAACAAGAAGAGATTAAAGCATTTGATTAATAAAGGCAAATAACCTCAAGAATAATTAAACATCATTTGTACAAAGACGGTTGCGAAGTCGTAAACCATAATTATATAAGGACATGGCTCCATTATGACAGGCTCCGCCATCATGCATGATAGCGGAACTTCAAATTAAGACAAGAGATATTATTTGATGAAATGGTCGCTGATGTGGAGGTACTGGTGGACTACAGCAATGAGCTTAACCCCTGTTAAGCAACCCCAACTGCAGCAACCGCTGCCCTGCAACAACCGTTGCCAAGCAACCCATGTTGCTTACCGATGCAGCATCCGCTGCCCCGCAACTACCGTTGCCAAGCAACCCATGTTGCTTACCAATGCAGCGCCTGCTGCCCTGCAACTACCGTTGCCAAGCAACCCATGTTGTTATGCAGCTATCGCTGCCAGGCAAGTACCATTGCCAAACCATAAGCGAGGGCAACTATTGTTGCCAAGCTGACCATCCGCTGTAAAGCGGACATTAAGCCATCTGCTGTAAAGCAGAATGGATAAATTGGTTCCTGCTGTAAAGCGGGCAACCCTATCCTAAATAATTTATAATTTGGGATGTATCGCAAGACGCCAAATGTAACTTGTAATGCAGTCCACCAGCACCCCGCCACAAGCACCAAGGTGCTTCCCAACAACCACGACCATTCCCGCTCATGTACACCCACCGTGTTATCCTATACTGAAAATGTTTCCTACAAGCATACTGCGGAAAGGGAGCTGCCAATGTTTTGTGTGAAAAGATCAAGTCCAGCCGGTGACAAATGAACCCCGTCACGCAGGTACAGTTGCTGCTCCTGCCGCTTGAACACTGTGTGGGGAACCCGTATCCCCCCAAGCTCACGGGCCCTGTTCCCCACTCGTCTGTTCAGCTTCTGCCTGGCCCCGTCCAGGTCCCGGGCACGGCTGGCTACATGCCAGTACCTCCGTGGCAGCATGTCTGACCACAGAATGACAGCACCAGGTAGGAGGAGGTGTATCCTCAGGAGTGCCAGCTTGATCTCATGATATAGCTGACACGTGGTTACCTTACCCAGGTCGTTCGAGACAAGGTGAATCACCACCGGCTTTGGTGGTGTCACATTGCTTTGACCTGGGCACCTATCAGCTTGGTCAGCTCCTCCCACCTCATGCCGCCCCTTGCAAACCAGAGATATCCCCCTGGAATACCGAAGTCACTGTCCTGTAGGTGCTCTCTCGCCCGGGTCAGGAAGCTGGACCCAACCAACCATACTGAAAACATGAATCAATAGGAAGAAAACTGTTATTGCATGGTTGGCGATTTAAATGTTTGCAGGTATGCGTATATAGCTTTTATAACATTTTGACCCCCACCTACCAAAGTGCTGTATCAAATCTGAACTCAATCCGTTACCGGCTGCTGTCGTTGCTGCGCCAATCCTGAAGGAATGCGAAGAGTATGCTGCTGTGCAGATGCCGCTATGCGCCAGTGCTCTTTTTAGCACGGCCTGAAATTGATACCTGGTCAGGGGAGATTTATCAAAGTGTACGAAAGCTTGAGTCTGACCCTGTGATCGAACAGGTATGCTTTAACTGCAGCCACTGGACACAGATTGTGGCCAGGTATGGCGGAAATGGAAACAACTATGCCATGTGACTGCCTGTCCGTTTTTGAATGCCTTAGAGCGACTGTTACTGTCTTAGTCGTGTCTTGGACTTCTAGGTCTAAGAAAGCGCACCCTGGCTGAGAAAGTTTGGTTTGCCAGAGTTCACTCACCCGAAAGAAACCAAAGAAGGCCAAGCAATAAACTGCTTTGAACTGCAGCAACCGCTGCCCTGCAACAACTGTTGCCAAGCAACCCATGTTGCTTACCGATGCAGCATCATTTGTACAAAGACGGTTGCGAAGTCGTAAACCATAATTAATGTATAGGATAGTATTCTTTTGTTGCTTGTTAGATATTTCATCAAAACGGAGGAGCTTGATAAGTGTATTGATGTTTTGGGGTAAACTTTGGAAATATTTTGTTCTGAGCGATTCATAACATGGACAGATAAACATAAAATGGTATTCGTTTTCAATAAATGTGGGGCAAAAAGGACAAAAAACGCATATTTTATTAAACTGAGGAAAAACGACCCGTATTACATACTAAATTGTTCAAACCTAATCTAAAACGTGTAAAACACACTCTAAGTTTTCTGTCTGTTATTTCTGTTAAGTACTGTTCTGGAGATAAGCAGGATTTAAATGTTTTATAAAGGTCGTATCTTGAACTATTTTCCAATGTTTATCAAGAACAACAAATAAAGTAATGAGGGCTCTCTTAGCTCGTAGCGCAAGATCGTTGAAGAGGTGATTTAGTTTCAGATTAAAAGGAAAAATGGATGCAAGATGACCCTGTCTGAATGATGAGATCTGATTGTTCCACGTGATCTTGATAAAATACATTTCTCAGCGGGGGAATTAATTTCTTATTCCCCTCCACGAGTAAGTCAGACTGCACGTAGATTTCAGAGAAGCAGAATAAATCCTTTATACCCCCGTTAAAAGCAAAAAGCTGCAGGCTTTTTTCGAGTCAATGGACGTCACTTGACATAGCGCAAGCTGACCTCAGCTCAATCGAACAGCTGTTTTCTATCAATTTTGAAGTTGTTTGAATTAATTTACAATGTCCTATTCAAACATGTCGGTAAGATAAATTCGTTGTAGCAGGACCACTCGGGGTACATGGTGTTTTGTGCGTCCGTCGTTAGGTTTTATACCACGGGCCGGAATTGAGTGAGTGAGTGAGTATGGGTTTACACCGCTTTTTCTCATTTCAGCAATATCACGGCGGGGGACACTAGAAATGGGTTCACACATTGTACCCATGTCGGGAATCGAACCCGGGTCTTCGGCGTGACGAGCGAACGCTTTAACCACTAGGCTACCCGACCGCCCCTAGAGCCGGATTTGAAAAACATTGTTCCTACTATCGGTCCTCAGACATTCTTTCAGATATTTTTTGTTTATTTGTTTAACGCAGCACTCGGCAATATTCCAGCTATATGACGGTGGTCTGTAAGTAGTCGAGTCTTGACCAGACAATCCAGTGATTGACATCATGAGCATCGATCCACGCAATTGGGATCGATGAGTTGCATCTACCAAGTCAGCGAGCCTGACCAAACCGATCCCGTTAGTCGCATCTTACGACAAGCATAGTCGCCTTTTACGGCATGCATGGGTTTCTGAAGACCTTTTCTACCCCGTATCTTCACGGGCCTTGTTTTTGTGTAGACAGGCTCTTGTGATCCGTGCTGTATGCGGTCGGGCGTTGTCCTGCAGGAATACACCGTTGCCGTTGGCTGCAATTGGGGGGACGTGTGGTTGGAGAATTTCGTTGATGTATGGTTGAGCCGTAAGATTGCCCTGGATATGGACCAAACCTGTCCT